TTCATGAAATAAAGTAGAATAGGCCCTACATGTTCTATCCTTTCCACCGATATGTATTGTAAGCATCTCACTTTGAATTATTCTACGGCAGATATGTAATGGAGAACCTGCCTAGTCCTCTGCCTCTATTATGCTGTGTTTTATTTCCTACCAACTGGGGTAAAACAAGGACCTTAAAAAGGTTCTGCTCTGTATTATTTCTTCCTGTAACTTTGTACTGCAAATTTCATTCGCATTAAAAACTATGCTGCATCATCATATCAGTCTTATGGTTCTCCTTGTTTCTCCCTACTTGGTTAAAAATTCATCTCTGTGGTACAAATACCTGAAATTATACACTTTCATTGGGCTACTGTGATCAGAAAACACAGAAGTCTTTCTACTTAAAGAAAGGGCTACCCATCTCTGCACATTAATTCTGACAGGTGCTTAACTGTGACTACACCAAAATGACTTGTGCATGGAACAGTTCCAGAGTCTGGATTGCTGGAAGAGACAGACAAATATCAACACTCAGATTAATTTACACTTGAGCAACCACATGGGTCTTGTAATGAAGTTTGGATACTTGAATTTTATATGGAGATTTACAGTCCTACACCACGCCTGAACAAGCATGACATTTACATATTTGTGATTCTTTTGGAGAATTATTATCCTTACGTAGGCAAAATCACATGCATCCAAAAAGGCAAAGTTAGATCAGACCTCAATATTATCTAGGTGGTCATTGTTTACACTTAGATCAGAATGTGATTCATCCAGAATCTCACTATAGCAAAACCAAAGAAAAATAAACTGAAATTAAAAAAGGGAATTAGCAATTACTCTCATGTAAGTGACATATTTGGAAGCCAAGAATGGTAAATGTTATTTAACAAGATAAGTTATTAATGCTGTCTTGTGTAACACTGTCTAATAGGGCTCAGGACTAGTGGTTAGTATGTGGCACCAGAGGTTAAGACAATTATATTTTATTTCTGCCTTTGATACGGAGTAGTGGCATTCATCTCAATGTGCCTCTGTAAATCTGCAAGGAGGAAGAGAATAGCAATTTCACTGGATGTTCTGAGATTTCCCCAGCACTAAGGACTTTCGCACATTTCAGTTCCAATAGTTGGACTAGGATAGGTGAAGAGACAAGGAGGCCTTGGGCAACCATCCAAGGAAAACATTTGCAAACATAGCATGTCAGCCGCCAGCCCACTACCCTGTGAACTGGCACAGCAGAACTGGGTAAGATTTTTTGGCTGAAACTTTTGGGCAAAAAATGCATATTGTGCAACACAAAACATTTCATGAATTTATGTCCATGTTGCCCATTCTTCATTCACAAAAATAAATTCCAAAAATACTGAAACACAGATTTTTGTTTGAAACAACTTTTCATTTAGAAGTCCTTTGATTTCATTAGAAAATTTTCAACAAAACATTTAGAAATTGTCTAAATCAAAAGAAACATTTCTATTTTTTCAAGGCAAAACATTTAGTAGAACCTAAGACAATTTTTTTGACTTTTCAATTTGTTGAGAATTTTTTTTTTAAAGTGTTTTGAGTCTGACCCATATTGATTTTTCTTCATCTTTTCCAAATTGCCAATGAACTTAAAAAAAATCCACTCTTTGACCAGCTCTACTAAGGGCAGTGTGTGTGTGTGTGTGTGTGTGTGTGTGTGCTGGGGGGGGGGGTGGAGGGCAGCAGAGCTGAATGTTATATATAAGGAGGCTGAAATAGGTTATTCAGGGTCCCCAATATCATTCTCTATTACTTTGGAACATCTTGATCTAGACAGATTAAAACCTTGGCCTTACCCTACATCTGGTACAAGAAACAAGTCAGGATTCTGCTCTCATTTACTCATCTAGAACTCCAGGGGAGCTATTTAACTTCTCTAAAATTACTCCAGATTCATACTAGTATTCAACTGAGATCAGAGTTTAGTCCAAGTTGTCCCTCATTACCCTGAGGGGAAGCACTATTTATGAAATAAAAGCCTTAAAGACATTGGCAGATAGCTGAAGGTCAAGGGAGCACCAACAGAAGCAGACATTTTCTCACTAAATTTTCCTTCCACGTCCCTTTTCTACAAGGTTACATTGTACAGTGCTGTAATTTGAAAACTGATGGCCCCACAGGACAACTGCCACAGTCTGTCATCTCCCCACCAAGGGCCTCCGGATCCACATGCTCAGATAACACTGTCAAATGAAAAAAACAGCCTTATTCTAGACTACTTTGAAATCTGTGTTCCTGTTTACACCAGTGCATCTGGTGCAAGTGCAACATGGTGAGAGATATTCAGCATGGCAAATATCACGGTTCCTGCTGTGTTGAGTCCTGATACCCCGAGGCCATTTTATATAACATTGGCTAGCTGCAGTGCTGTGTAACCCACCTACCTTAAAAATGATTACATTCCATTACTGAATTTGTTCCTAACAGTTCAACTATTTATAGGGGAGCATGGATCAGCATTCACGTCACACTCCCCATCAGTACCCAGCTGAAGCCAATCAGCGGACCAAATTTGTGATGAATCCTGGTCACATGCCACCTGAGGCACGTTGTGCATAAACTAAGAAGGAATATTTATAAACACACAGGAGATTCCTGACCCTGCAGAGGTGTTTGTTGTATGTGGGGAAAATGGATCTATGCAGGTATTTGCAATGTTCTTGATGACTTGACTGTCTATCACTATATTTGTCCAGAGCTTGAAAGACTGGAAATTGTTGCAACCCAGTTTCTGAACACATCACACACTACTGGATTAGTTTGAGTTTTCCAGTGAACTGAAACCCAAATTCACTACATGAAAATAAAATATCTGGGTCAGATTCACCAACACCAGAGCTAAATGAAGGTGGAGCATCTGATTTGGTAGAACTTTGCACATACTTAAAATTGACACAAATAACTACTCTCCCCACCCACCAGTTACATTCACGTCTGTGTGGCGGTACACAGCACAGAAGCAGAAGAAAGGAAGAATGTACAGTGATGTGAAATGGACAAATAGTGTGGAAGAGTGGTAGTGAGTCTATAGTTAGAAGACGAGCAGAGATTTCTGATTAAGAGACAATTAGTCAAAATGCTCTAACATTCACCTGTCCAGACTGCATTGACATAGTTATGTTTCATCAGGGCCTGGAACAGGGATAGCTGTGGAAACTTGGCTTGATGACAGCACCCCAGAGTGTAAAAACACCACAAACACCGGGTCAGTAAAATTTCCCCAGCATTAATTTATATTAATCATCTCTGCTGAGGCACATGAAAACTCCCTGGGGAGCTTAGGGAGGAGTGTATACTACAGGATGATCAGAGCTTTCTGTTTAAGAACCAATTATTGAAAATGCTCGGATACCAAAAGCATCCTCAGACTGTCTTGAAAAAAAGACAGTACAGAGGAGTTGGGGTAGATTGTACCCTGCATTAACGAAGCATTTTTGGTGAATTATTTTATTTGTGAAAAACTGGTTCACTGTCCTGTGAAGACTTACACGGGTGCTTCACATGAATTATGTGACCAGCCTTATTAAATTCAAAGACAGCTCATATGATTAAAGTCAAGTATGTGCATAAGTGTTAAGAGGGGCAGGGTCTTTACGGAAACATCTCTGACCCTAAGAAAAATTGACCGACATGCAGAAGGCCCACCCAATTAGGGTGACCAGATGTCCTGGTTTTATAGGGACAGTCCCGATTTTGGGTTTTTTTCTTATATAGGCTCCTATTATCCCCCACCCCCGTCCCAATTTTTCACATTTGCTGTCTGGTCACCCTACAGCCAATGCTTTTCACCACAAAAGGGGCCTGATTTTCCGTTCAGTTCAGGGCTGAAGTAGTATTTAAGAAGTGCATAGGCCTGGCTTTGGTTCTCTGTACAGGATGAATTTCACCCGGATTGGTTTGTTCATAAGGAATGGATGAGAAAGAAAAACTGGAAGGCTGGTATTATGATGCAGCAAAATTTTAATGAGACTAAGAAGTAGGGTATACAGTGGTAGAAAGAAACAGTACACAGAACTTTTTCCAGAGGCTCAAGAAGGGCTCCAAACCCATCACTCACTCCAATGTGATGACTTTCTTTCTTGCAGCGTTAGATAATCAAGCCTGTTTTCAACCATCTCAAGCTTCATGTTTCACCCCAATCAGTGAGAGAGACAAAGCACAGCATAAGCAAGACTAAACAGCTCTTCCATTACACATCTGCTGTAGCAAAGTTAAAAGCACGAAACAAATGGTAATTGGATGATTTAGTTGGAAGTTGGGAATTGGTCCTGCTTTGAGCAGGGGGTTGGACTAGATGACCTCCTGAGGTCCCTTCCAACCCTGATATTCTATAATCTTTATGGAAAGGCTAGAACATAGAGTGCCTAACTTGCATTGACACTAAAACCCCTTTGCAGGACTCTGGCAATGAAAGGATCCTTAAAGACTACAAATGTAATTTATGTTCACCTTAAGGCCCTGCTTCCTTTACACTGCCAGAGGGCCGGGTGTAACGAGATAGTAATCAAGAATCAGGCCTTCGGTGTTAATCAGCAGATAGCTGGGAAGGCATAAGAAGAAAGCCAGAAAGTATAACATAGGAAATACATCGGCAACTTTAGAGGTGCTGTGCACTCACACCTCTCATGGACTACATTTAAGTCATGGGAGCTCCGCACTTCTGAAAGCCTTGCCCATAAGCTCGGCTGTGAATCGTTATCTTGCTTTTCATTTCCTGGTCGTTCGTTGTTCCGTGGATGGTCCTTCTGGGTTTAACATGGCCCACAGTTTCCATAGCTGTATCTATGGCCCTGCTGAGAAGAAAACGGGTAGCAATATCCAGAATGATATGCTCCCCTGTAACCATAAGAACCCCTATAACCCCATGAGCCACCATGACTGCTATGGCCTCCATAGCCACACAGGCCCCTGTAGCCACAAGGGCTCCCATAAGCCCATCGTCCCCCATAGCCACAGGGTGAGTAACACCCATCATTGTACCCGTAGCCGCTCCAAGTCATTTTCTGCAATGGATGTAAACCTGAAACACACAGCAGGGAGAAAGTAAACATGAGGTGTAAGTGTCAGTGGAATTAAAAGGGTTAAAGCATAGTTACAGGCATAAGGTTGATGGTAATGCACGTTATAATGGGGCTAAGTAGATGGAATAAGGAAATGACTTAGTCCCTTCCTTCATCTCTGCTCCTAGTTTCTCCTTCTATTCTCTTGCTTCACACATCTTTAGCCACATACCCTTAAAATAGTCTCTCGCGCTTTGCCTTTAGAACACAGGCTGTAAGAAGTAACCCCACAATCCAGAGTATTTTTATCATGGACACATGGAGTTTTCAACCCATTTCAGAAAATGTGAACATGTTGTACAGAGGGGAGAACATTAATGTTGATTTTCTTTTTATGATCTAACCTCTGAAAATCAGTTCTGTCCAGCATCACAGATTGGCACTTTGGTTTCTAAAGCAAAACTTGCTAATGAATGAAGGCAAAACATGCTTTTGTGAAAACAAAGAACTATGAAGCAGAATGTCAGCTGCTGCAAATCCATGCATTTTCATTGACCCCAATACAGTAGCACTAACTTACACCATCTGAGGATCTAAACCTAAAATTACTACTACCCATTTGCTACTTTCCTGTGAACTATAAGTTGGGTGTGATATTTCAAAATTCAAGGACCTGGAAGTCCAGTTTCCAACTAAAATGTAATAAGAAATAGGTTTCCCAAATGTGTGTTTTAAAAATCAGACTTGCCCTCTAAAGCTGAAATCAACCTATGCCTGTAACTTAATATAAGCCTTCTATATTGCTAAGAATCACAGAATGGATTAGCAGAATTCAGGCTTTAATTAAAACAAACATTACCATGACATGGATAGCAATACAGAGATTGAATCAACTCACACTTACCCAATTCACCAAAGAGTACAAGTCTAGAGAAGTGGTTAGAAGAGCTCTAAGTCGTGAGCGCTTTTATACAATTTCTAAGACCTAATTAGTTCCAAAAATACACTTCGTAGTCTCCAGAACTTCCTCTGTCTTCCTCACTGTTGGTGGTTATTAGTCTATTTTTAGCCCCATATGGTATGACATGCAGGACTCATCTAATACACCTTACACGACTCATCTAATAATTTTATAGGCCAAATTATTACATTGATTTCATTGAAGTTACAGTGGGAATGAAGGTCATGAGACTACAATGGTCTATTAGTCGCACAATCTACTGTCAAGCACAGGAATTAATTCTGGTCCTTTAGATACACTGGAACTGGTTAGAGGCATTTGCCCTGGCAGTTCGTAGGAAGGATTTAGAGTGGCTATTCTGAACGCTCAACACCTCCATCCCCCGTGGGTCTGATACAATGCATAGTGAAATCAGCAAGAGTCGTTGAGCAGGCATTACATCAGGCCACACTCTAATAGTATGCTTTGCGCTTATAAAATATTAATGAATGTTTGTGAAGAGCTTTTGAAATCCTTAGTTCTGAGGAAGACTCAGAACAGTCATGATGACGGTTACCCTTGTTTTATATGTAGCTAAAAGAGGAACACTGAGGTGAATGTCACACAGGGAGCTAGTGACAGCGTCAGAAACAAAATCCAGGAACCCTGCCTCCTCATGTGACATTGCAAACACCAGTCCTGACCTCTATTGCATTAGAAGATAACATTCTTCGATTCCAAATAGGTCAAAAACAAAAATATTGTTATAAAGATTCATTTAGGTGGATTTGTGTGTGACAGTCTGGTTGAGTCATCTTATCTGAGCCTAAACAAAAGACAGATATTGTGAACTATGTTGCCTTTGCCTTCTTTCTATGCGAGTATAATTCTCCAACAAAATGATCGGCATAAACATTTCATACCTGTTATTGGGTGGTGCATTGCTTTGGATTGAGTAATTGGTTGCAGTCCCGCTTAAAACCCTGGAAATATATTTTCTTCCCTGCACTATTTTTGTCTGCAACTACATATTCTATTTCTCTTTTGCATTAAAGTTATGCTGCAACAGGACAATGGCCTTCTGGTTTTCCTTTCCTCTTGTTCCCTATTCACGTATTATTCCAGGTGAAATCACCCTTGTGCACGTCCACAAATCACTTTCTCTGGTGTGCATCCCAGATGTTTGCAATTGATAGAGTTAGACAATCCATAATTATTGATCCTGAGGTCAGATCCAATTGGGTAATTTCGGTGTACTGGAGATCATTACATAGTTTGAGTTACTGGGAGTGTGCAAGATATGTAAGAATTCTTGGGATTCCGTCTGAGACTGTATCCACTCAGCTTATCCAGAACACCTGTCCAGATCTGGGAGAACACTTCAGGCTGCTCTCGGGAATCCAAAAACTCCAGCTTGTCACTCAGGTTACTTTATTAGGCATAGAACAGATCTGTGCTTACACTGTCCAGGCCCAGACACAGGGAGTTTAGGTACAGGGTGATTTGGACTTGTCACATAATGTCACACACACAGCTACTAACATCTATACTTCAATCCAATTAATTTGGACTTGATATGGCTCACATAAGGATCAACCACTTTGCAGATAAGGTGAGGA